GTAGAGATAAGCAGAGAAGAATTTAGCTCATACAAATGACACCATGTATAAATATAGTAATTACAGAATGCTAAGCATCAGTTTTCTCTGTCAGTGTTTATCAGTTCTAAATCATGATGAACAACATTTAATTCCAACCGAGCACAGCATGAGCTCACTGAACAATAATGCTCAACTACAGAGGAGGGGAAAAGAGAAAAATAGAAATCAGCTGGTGGGGTGTTTGTTTGGAGTGGCAAGTCAGCTACTGATCAATTCTGAAACCTACACCACTGATGCCTTGTGGAGCTTCTATGAAGTTGTCTTTAAGGACACAGAAAGTGGACCTTGTGACACAGATCTGTCCATTTTCTTAACAACACATCCAGCAGTGGGTTACAGGTAAATCACAAGTGCAACTTTTCATTGCTTATTTTTTATTTTTATTTTTTTACCAGAGAAGCTACAATCGTACAGATTCATTATTCTTTGTGAATGTATCATTCGCATATGTTTCAGTGTTCACAAATGACAAAGTTTTCAAGCAGACCATGAAGGCATCAGCAGTGAAAAAGCCTGGGACTTGGGGGCGGGTCCCTCTCACAGCACTCTTATTTGTAAGGAGATGTTGAGTAGGAGATGTCTATAGGAAGCTTTTATATACTCACTGACCACTTTATAGGGTACAGCTATGTCTACTCCCATTTACCTCTGCTTTAAAGTCTTTTTAATGAAAAATGTTTCTTGTTATTGTTGGCAAGAAATGTTAGTAAAATAAAATGTTATGAAATGTACAAATCATTGCATTATTTATTTACATTTATTTACATTTTACACAGTGTATCAAATCTTTTTTTTTTTTGAAATGGGGTTGTAGATGCACATATGCAATTAAAGTTAACTGCAGGTGCAGCAACAAAGTGGTTTACATGTTAATGAATCTATAATTGTGATCCGGGAACACAATGATATGATTCTGCATAATAGTTTTACTTAAGCTGCGTTAACTATATTTTGAAGGATGAATATGCATGGAGCAGAGGTAGTATGAGTTTAAATATCCAGGGTTAACCACTCAAAGCACAAGAGAGGTGAAGAAGAAAATGGAGGCAGGGTGGAGGTGAGTGGCAGGAATGGACAACAAGGAATAGCAATTTTAAAAAAAATGTTAATAACATGATATATGGTTTGGACAGTAGCACTGACAAAAAGGCAGGAAGCCAATCTGGAGCTGGCAGAAATAAGATTTT